GGGCTGGATTAGAACCTGCCAGCTCAGGTGTATGTGGCTGGTGCCTTAGCTGCTTGAGCCACAGGCACCAAGCCAGTATAAAGTATTATTATTCAACAAGGAATCACTTTCACAAAACTTGAATTAGTTCTTCTAAATCTTAACTATCTTGCAATGTTGATAATCTTTGGATAGTAATAATTCCATTTCTAAAACCCTATTTTAAATACAGGAGGAAAAGATCTATGCTCTTCTTTATAAAATGGAAAAACCAAAAACCACCTGAGTTTTCCACCAGAGAACAAACTTTATCCAACTGATGAAAAGAAAGTAAATACCATTTCAGTGGCTACATACATAATGTGGAAAATGTTTATGCTATAACAACAGGAGAACAAGGCAAGAATAAAAATTCTTAAGATGTCAATTATGCTTTAAAAATATAGCAATATAAAAGATTAGAAGGAAATGTGTTTAAAATAGTTTTAAAACAAGCACCTGTGGAAATTCATCTTCATCTGAGCTGTGAAAGTCATATTGCTTAATGTCACTCTTATTGATCACAGGCAATGTCTCAGGAGTAGATTGCTGAGATGTTATCAAAGCCTCTGCTTTAGGCTTCTTTGGGTACTTCTTCTTTTGACGAACCACATCAGAAGCCTCTTCTTTCAAAGACAAATGATGAGGGTGCTGTTTTCATGATGATTTTTCCCCCAAAAGGAAAAAATAAAAATCATTTTAGAAATCATGAAAACTATACTGTTCTTTGAAAAACATACACTTTTACCCAGGAGGTGAGTTTATTATTAAATATGCAAAAATCATTCTGTGATCATAAATTGAAACATGTTTTACTTTCTACAAGGTATGAAGAGAAATAATTATGGTATTTAAATTTGCTTTTCATATTATTATTAATACTTAAAACTAAGATGTTAATGATTTTTTTAGATTGCTTTAATATTATGTAATCTAGCATTTAAAAGGTATTTAAATTCAATTATTTAAATTCTGTATATTAATGATGAAAATCAATAACTATTTAAAAATTATTTGGATTGGATCAGAACTCATTAATCTACTTCTACACTTATTTCCAATTTTTAGAAATGTCTGTTCTATGAGTAGTAATGTTTTGAGAAAAATAAGCTTAACTGGAAAAAAGAAACCACATCATTTCTTAGAATATGTGACTGCCTCAACTGAATAATCATCAAACTGTTCTCAAGTACTTCAAAGTTCTACAGTTACTTGAGAGGCCATGTGTCATATGGACTGACTGAGGGTAGGTTTCTAGCCCCCACATTTCCTCAACAAAGGGGCTCTATTTCTGTTTTAACATACTGACAATCCTTTTGATAAAAAGGGATCTACTACTTTAAAACGTTGGAAATGACTATTCTAAGAATTAAAGTACAAAGTATGAAATTGTAAAAATATTTCTGAAGTTATATTTCCACAGTCCAGACGTTAAACTATGTTAGGGTTAAAAACCATACACACACTGAAAATGTTGGTTGAATGGCAAATTACATTTAGTGAAATTTTAAGGTGGGACATGTGACAAAGTAAATATAGTTAACTATGCGTAACAGAGTAAGGCAACAATGTATATAACTGTATCTATTACAATAAGTACTTAAATAGGCTGAATTTTTTTTTTTAGAAGAGATCTAAAATAAGAATTCATAAATAAGTGGCTGATTCTGATAGTAATTATGGGTTAAATATTTTTAGATTCTAACATCTTACAGTCATATACCTAGGAAAAGCACTGATTGATATAAAATGGATTTTTAAAAGTAACTTATGAAATAACATTTGCATTGTTTTTTTGGGCTATAGAGGCAAGTATGATTTAAAAGGAATCAGGTAGGTGGGCTAGATGCCTGTGATTAATAAGAAAGAACTTCGGTGTTTGAATTGACATGAGCTGAATAAGAAGAAATCATTCTGTTCCACATTCTTTCTTGACCTTTAAGAATGAACCCATGATAATGAGGACTGTGTACATTTTTAAAAAGATGAATTTTCCACAAACACCCTAAATTACTTTTGAAATCTTGCTACAGAGTAAGACTCTACTATCTAGATGTTTTAGTCAATACCTCTGCTCTTATTTTAGACAAGGTCTTGATAGCATGCTGCAACCTTGAACTACTTGTCTCAAGCAATCCTCCACCTCAGCCTCCTGAGGAGGTAGGACTAGAGGCACACACCACCACACCTGGCTTTTAAAAAATTTTTTGTAGAGATGAAGTCTCACTATTTAGCCCAAACTGGTCTCAAGCTCCTGGCCTCAAGTGATTCTCTTGCCTTAGCCTCTCAGAGTGCTGGGATTATAAGCATGGGTACACTGTACCCAGCCAATACCTGTTTCTTATTTAAACCTATGCTCCTTAAAATTAAAGGTTTTGTTTTTCTACATCCCAATTAAATAATTAATGAACCAAGTGAATACTGACTCAAGTCCAAGAGACTAAAATAATCACTGAATCTAGCTCTTTTATTAGGAAGAAAATGTGATCCAGAAATCAAAGGACTTTCTCAAAGGTAACCACTTATAAATGCTGGTTCTGGCAACGATGTTGACAAGAATAACTCAACAGTCTCAATGAAGAAAGTTTTAATTTTAGATGTTGATGCTTGCCACTATAATGCAGGGTTTGCTAAGGCTAGTGATAATCACTAAACTTTTATTACTCTTATTCTCTAGGGAAGTAGACAGCATACTGGAAATCAATCGGCTGTTAAGATTTGGATTCAAACCTTTAATCTGCCCCTTATGAATTATTCTAGAAATCACACAGAGATAAAACCTACCTCAAAGGGTTATTATGCAAATTAACAAGTCACTATGTGTTTCTTATAAAGTACTTGGCAAATGGTAAGAACTAAATTCATGTTAATTATTTTTTTCCCTTTTCCAAACTATATTAAGACCTACAGAAACCAATAATTATTTGATCATTACCACACACGCTTCTCCCCAGAGGATATTCACCTTAGTTTTACATTCTTGGACTTTGTGATGATTTCCATTATGAAGAGTTGCTGGAGTGGTATATAAGTCTTTTTCTGATCTATTGATTTTCACTTCATTAAGAATTTCACCACCATAGTCTCCCAAATGATATCTTGAAAAGGTAACAAAATGTATGAATATGTTGCGCAATTTAACAATTAAAAAAGACAATTAATTAGAAGCTCTAGACAACAGAACTAGTAATCAAATTACCTATGTTTAAAAGAAAATTTATAGGAATAAAACAAACATATCTATTCTGGTTCAGAAAAAAACAAAATAAACCAAAAAACTGGAAAAACTGCCTCAGGTACACAGAAAACCAAGTTTCTTATATATTTTAAATTATTAAACACTGAGAAATGTTTATGATGCTTACTTTAGGAAATCATGCAAAGATAGGAAAATACTATTACATTAGAGAACCCATTTCCAAAAGGAGGTGCAACAAAAAAGTTTTTAGTCAGAAAAGTAAAATCAATTAAACATTAATTTCCCTCAGATTTTACTTACTAGAAACTTTGAGCTCAACAAAGTGATCTCTAGGTTCTTTTCTAAATAATATTCAACGATCCCTCCCCTTCCCCACAAATGTAGTGCACAGTATACACAAAATGCCCCTAAAATTTGCAATCCAAATTGATAACTCAATTAAAAAAAAAACCCTAGTAACCATGAATGTTGTAAAAATGTAAATTCTGTCAAAGACTCTGCATCAACTGTTATAATGCCTCCCCCATCATCTTTTGGTTACATTTTGCCCATCATGTGGCTAAAGTGGCCATTTGTTATTTAATAGTAGCAGTGTTACCTTTTTTCCACAACTTCTAAGGTTAAGTGCAATAATTCTCGTTTTGTTTTCTCTCTTCTCTTAATCATTTCCAAAATTGTTATGGCTCTACTAAACTCTCGTCTCAGTTTCAGCATCTTTTCATAAGAAGCTTCATCATTCTTACGATTCTATTAAAAATAATAATTTTAGAATAATTAACCCAATTATCCACACTTCTAGCTTCATTCAATAAAATCTTATCAGACTCAAATTTAACCTATTAAAGTAAAAATGTTTAAAAAAATCAAATAAACAACAACTACATGAAAGGACCTATCTATTTAACTCTGAAGAAAAAAGAGCAAATTCTCTCTCTATATGGCTCGGCGCCTGTAGCTCAACTGGCTAAGGCGCCAGCCATGTACACCTAAGGTGGCGGGTTCAAATCCAGCCCGGACCCGCCAAACAACAATGACGGCTGCAACCAAAAAATAGCC